TGTATAATCTTTACAAAGGCATAACAAGCCTTGACAAAAAGTACAAAATGCAAAGATGAAAAAAAACAAAGTCAAACAGAAGTCGCCTAATCTTTGTCGGGAACCGCATCATCACCTTCGGGTCTCCGCCACCTTCGGACTCACCCGAACCTTCAGACCCCTCGGAATCTTCCTCCTCGGGATAAGACAGCTTTCTGGCCTTGGCTTCGAATACCTTAGCATTCTCGATTTCAGCCAACAAGTCAAAACTCCGGGCATAAACTCCCTCGAGTGCCTTCCTTCGAGATTGCCATTTCGTATGCTCCACCATATTTCTCACTTGGTCCTGAGATGCCTCAGCATCTGCCTTGTGCTGGGCCACCTTCTCATCAGCCTCGGCCTTGACCACATCGATCTCTGACTTGGCCGCCTCAAGCTCCTTGGCCAGATTTTCTTGACCGGAGACCACCGAGCTCAGCTGAGACTGGAGCTCCTCGACCTTTTTGGCCTGTACCAAGGCCTTTTCCTTTGCAGACCGGAGCTGGAACTCAGTCAAAACCAATTGTGCCCGGGCAGTCTCCTTTTCCGAGGCCAAGCGGTCCATGTTTCTTTTCTATTCTTCAGCGTCAGCTTTCACATTGTCCGCCTCCGCTTGAAGCTGCTCGAACTTGTCAAGTTTTTTTTGAACCTGCGGGTTCAGACCATTAGTCATTGTGTCTGACTCATCGTCACTAACTTCGTAGTTTTCTTACTTGCTCGACCAGGTCGGCATGCTCCTTCTGAACCGCTTCCAGCTCGGCCTGGAGTTTCTCACTGAGAAGCTTATAAGCATCCCTCTTCTGAGTGAGCTCTCGAGTTTCGGCCTCATGATGGTTTAACTCTTCTTTATATCGGAGAAAAGTCTCATGATGAAGCACTGAAGCATGCAAGCACAAAGAAAAGAGTTACGATTTTTTGCAAATTAACCTAATTACGTAATAAAGAGGCGCTCAAAATTACCCGATTTAACGCATGTTGTGCTTCGTTGAAAAGGCAGGGCGCTTCCACCTCGTCTATCTTAGCTTTATCCTCTTCGGTCACCAGGCATTGAAGATAACTGGCAACCCTTAAGGGGGCAGAGAGAATCCGAGCATCCTCCGGAATGGACATGATAATCGACTTCTTCCGGTCAGGATCTGCACTCAGAGCTGGGAACCGATTTACTAGTCTCGGACTTATAGAAAGCTCGTTGGCTCCCAAAGACAGTCTCTTCTTTGGTACCGGTAAGTCGCCCAACCCGGTGACGTCCTCCGAGATGGTAGAATCTAAGCCATCAAAGAAGTTATTAAAGTCTGCTACCCCTTGTGGCCCTTCGCCGAGGTGACCTTTCAGTGTTTGGGCCTCTTTGATCATAGAGTCGGTAAACGAAGGTGACTCATAGAGATCTATCACTCTAAGTGAATCCTTCGGGGTATTGTCCTCTGCCCGAGAAACACCAGTCGCGGCCTCCTTATCGGCCTACCTAACTAGAGGCAAAACGACCTCGCCCCTCTCTGGTTTTGAGGCCTCGGCCACTGCCTCTCCACCGGCCCCCTGGTTCGGGGTAATTCGGTGTCGCCCCTCTCCGATTCGGGGCCCTCTCGTCCCTCGAACTACGGTCGCACGTGGGCCACCAGTTCAGAAGCTTCTTCTTCTTCTTCGGACTCATCCCTCAACTGATGGAGTGAGTCTGATGGGAGCTCTTGGGATCTGGTACTTTTGTTGGATTTGCGGACTAGCCTCCTTCTCGATTTTTTCTTCTCGGAGCTCATTTTATTTTCTTCTCTTTATCCTGCCTCAAAACAGATGGTTCGGGGAGGATATCTTCATCGCCAGATGGGGGCCTCATTGCAATGTCCTTGGGAAGACCTGCAAAGAAAAGGAAAAGAAGTAAGGTCTCGGCAACATGGAGGAAGCATAAATGTTGTTCAGTCGAGAGCGGAATCTTACCGTGAGAACGGGCCTCCCACCGGCCCTTTGAAAGTTCGTGCCATGCATGCTCGGAATATGATTTCTGGTACACGATATCCTCAACCCACTCCTTGAGTCGAGGAACTGCATCTGCCATCCGAGTGACAGCTGCGCCACCACGAAAGATCGATGAGAAGGGAAGAAAATTAAAAAGCGATAAATGAAATCTTAAAGGCAATTTTATACTTACGTTTCATGTTCCATTTCTCAGGGAATGGCATATCCTCGGCCGGGATTAAATTTGAGGTCTTCACTCGAACGAATCATCCTAACCAGGCTTGGTACCGATCCTCGCCGTTGCTCAAAAATGGAGCCTTACTAGATCGACGAGCAAGTTTTATTAGTCCCCCTCGATAATGTCTGGGACTATACAGACGCATGAGATGATCGATGGTGAAATGACACTCTTCAATTTTTTTTACGAAGAAGCAGATGAGAATTACTATCCTCCAGAAAGAGGGATGAATTTGACTGAAGGTCACCTCGTACCTCTTACAGAAGGCGATGATGACCGGATCCAAGGGGCCCAACGTGAAGGGATACGTGTAAACACTTTAAAACCCCTCCACGTGGGTAGTAATCGCTTCCTCGGGCGAAGGAACCACCATGTGCTTATCAGCCCAGTTGCAGTCTTCCTTGACCTTGGAGAGGAAGCTGTCGGTGACCGAGCCTATATATCTCGAGACCGGTTCATGCCAACCCGGTATCGAGAAAGTTTTCACGACCTTGAAATCAGCATCGGTTGGGCACCCAGTATGAACGAACATCTTCAGAGGAGGTTCCGGTGTCGGTTCCTCAGTAGCAGCAGATGAAACGTTTTCCTCTATAGTCGGTCGCGAGGTAGAGGGAGTTTCCTTTTGGGAAACGGACTTTGAAGTCTTCGCCATTTCTTTGATAGGTGAAGGAAAGAGAGGAAATTTAAAGATTAAGTTTGATGGTTGGGAATAAAAACAAATCTGAAGTTCTTGTGAAAGGATTTCAGAATAGCCAAAGATTTAATACTGGAAAGTGTTAAAATTTCTAAGAAACAAGAGTAGAGAAGATTTGGATGTAAAACGTTTGAATGAATGAAGAAGGGGATATTTAGATAAGATTTGGATGTAAAAAGTTTGAATGAATGAAGAAGGGAATATTTATAGTTTCCAAATGATGGTTCAAAGCCGTAAGTGACCGACCAGCGGCTGACAAGCATTTAATGCCATGAATATGTGACTGACGAGACGCTTCGTTCAATTTGTCATTTCTGACGAGGAATACCGAGGAGAGATATCGGAGGCTCATATCATTTCTCATAGATTATTCTCCGAAAAATGAGGGAACTATCTATATACGGTCGAAGTCGAGCACGACTTCGACTTGGTAGATTAGGTTTGGAACATGGCGACCACGGACTGAAGATCGACCCCGAGTCTCACCGAGCTAGAACCCGAGGTCAGAAAACCTGCCTTCGAGAAAAAATTGAATCCGGTGTCGAACTTAGCCTCGAACGAGCTCGAAGATAACTAACAGAAGACTAAAATATCCGCGACCGGACGGATATTACGGCGAGAATCTCAGCACGTATCAGCAAGGTACCGGTAATTACCAAATCAAGAGATTTTTACCTTATATAGAAATATACCTAGAATAGGACTCCTCTACTATATAAAAGGGGGTCTGATACTTCATTAAAAAAATACTTTAACACGCATCACAAAGCAATACATTATTATTTCTAGTTCTCATTATCTTGTCATTCTGTTCCGGCATCGATAAAAATATTTCTGACCCGATTGTGACTAACCTTCAAGGCTAAGATTGTTCAACTTGTGTGGTTTGCATTTTTTTTTCATTGCTTATTTCAACATTAATATGATTTCTCGTTTTGTATCAAGTTAGATCGTGTATCCTTAAAATCACGTACAAATTCAATTGTTATCCAATTTTGAGGGTAAACAGTTTGGCGCCCACCGTGGGGCTAAGGATAATAGTGGTTATTTGATACAAATCTCCATAACTCACACTACTTTACCCTTGCTCTTTGAATTGTCTTTGATTCCAGGCTAGAATACAAGATGTCGAACTCTCAATCAGCACCCCTGCATGTTGACAACGAGTCCGGTCATCAAGGTAAAAATAACAACATAGCGCCCGAAAATGAGGTACCACCTGCTGATCCCATTGGAATTCTGATCGCAGACCCGATTGATGCTAACTCACATGTGGCTATCAATGCAAACTTGCCTATCGACCCCGAAAATAGCATTCGTGATGGAGCCCGATCGGCAACTCGAAACACACAAAACATTAAAGGAGACGGAATTAGTCTACGGTTGATCTTCGAAATGTTGCAGGCTCAACATGCGGTAATAACTCAATTATAGAACCAAAGCCGTGCACCGAGCAGGGTTGAGCCCGATCTACCTGGGAAGTCACCCGCAGGGATGAACCGGTCATAAAAAGGTCAAATGAACATGAATCGGAGACTAACCCTGAGATTATAAAGATGCTCGAGGAGTTGACAAAGCGGATAGAATCAGGGGAGAAGAAAATCGAAGCTAACGACAAAAAGGTGGAGACCTACAACTCCAGGGTAGACCAAATCCCAGGAGCACCTCCCATATTGAAAGGATTGGATTTCAGAAAGTTCGTGCAAAAACCTTTTCCTTCGAGCGCGGCTCTGAAGCCGATCCCCAAAAACTTTTGTATGCCCGAAATATCTAAGTATAACGGAACGACCGACCCAAACGAGTATGTGACCTGTGACCTCTTATAGATGTGCCATCAAAGGGAACGACTTGGAGGACGACGAGATCTAGTCTGTTCTGCTGAAAATATTTGGGGAGACCCTGTCAAAGGGAGCTATGATATGGTATCACAATTTATCTCCTAATTCTATTGACTCATTTGCTATGCTTGCAGACTCTTTCATAAAAGCACATACTGGTGCCATCAATTAAACCATGCTAACTAGTTATGAAATTTCAAAAAGTATTTTTATAAAATAGAAATGCTAATTGTGATTAAGGAAACAATATAATAATACGACTATGTATTGACCCTAAGTGAGTGTTATAAATTGGTAGTATATAAAAATTTGAGGAGAAACATAAAATGGTGAATAGTGAATAGAGGAAGCATGATGAAAGTTATAAAGAAAGTAGAAACTATAATATTTTGAGTTGCTATAATATCTGCAAGCTAAGCTAATGCTATCCTTTTTGATGAATAAAAAGAAATATTTAACTAAATAATTTCATAAAAATAAATTCTATCTTTTTCTGAATGGTAGAATTGTTAGTCATTAAACACGAAAATAAATCAACTCCTTTCCCTTTCTTAACCACATCCTAACAACAAACAACTTATTTGGATGGTTGTTATGTTAACGGTAGAAAATCGGTGAAATCAATGGAGTTCGACTTAGGGTTTACTGTCTTTAGAAGAGGGAGAAGAGAAAGTTTTTTTATTAGAAACTTCTAAAAATTGAAAATGAATAATCTATTCAATACAATGTGTAACTCAGCCTATATAGTTGACTCGAGAGTCCAACTAAGCCCAAATCACTAAGCTGAACAAAACAGAAAAATTAAATACATGTGGGCTCAGCCCAGTACAAATAATAAAGGAGGATATTAAACCCATGACTAAGTAATACTAACACCCCCCTCATGTTGGAGGGGGAGAACACCCCCAACTTGGAAAGAAGACCATGATGAGCAGCCCCTGCCAAAGCCTTTGTGAAGATATCCACGAGCTGAGTAGAGGAAGATGTATGCAACAAATGAATGAGGCCCTCAGTAAGCTTGGCTGGAACAAGATGACAATCCAACTCAATATGTTTAGATGGAAAACATGATTCTTTGCAATGTGAATGGTAGCTTGGCTGTCACAAAATAAAGGAACAGAAGAAGGACAACTGACTCCCACATCCAAAAGCAGCCTATGCAGCCAAGTAAGTTCACCAGCAGCCTTACTCATAGCCCTATACTCAGCCTCAGCAGAAGACATAGACACCACAGACTGCTTCTTTGACTTCCAAACTACCTCCCAACAATACACAAAAACCAGTGACAGACCTCCTGGTGTCAGGGCAGGTAGCCCAATCACTATCACAAAAAGCAGCCACAGAAAGATCATGAGAATTGTTGAAAAATACACCAAAATCAGCAGTACCCTTCTGGTATTTCAAGAGATGGAGAGTTGCCTCAAGATGGGGTAGGCAAGGAGAATGCATAAATTGAGATAAGTGTTGGACAGCAAAAGAGATGTCACGCCTTGTATTGGTAAGAAAATTGAGCTTTCCCACCAATGACCTGTAAATAGTTTAGGGAGAGGAGTGCCCTCCTTGTCTTTAAGCTTAACATTCAAAGGAAGAGGACAGACCACAAAAGCAACATCTGAACAGTGAAACGCCAAGAGAAGATCATGAAAAAATTTCTTCTGATGTAGAAGAACCCCATAATCTGAATATAACACCTCAATGCCTAGAAAGTAACTGAGGGATCCAAGATCTTTGATCTTAAATTGAGCATCAAGGAAGGACTTCAAAGAAGAAATCTCAGCAGAATCAGTCCCTGTGAGGATAATATCATCCGCATAAACTGCAAACACCACAATAGAGTCCCTATAAACTCTAGTGAAGAGAGAGTAGTCATTAAGGGAATGATGGTAGTCTCTAGAAGAAAGAGCTTGGGAGAGCTTGGCATACCACTGCCTGGAGGCCTACCTAAGCCCATAAAGGGACTTATGAAGTTTGCATACCAACTGGCTAGAACTGGAAGGGGGAGTAATAGAATAACCATGGGGCAGCCTCATGAATACCTCCTCATCAAGGTCACCATGCAAAAAAGAATTGTTGACGTCAAGTTGGAAGAGAGGCCAATGCTTCTTGACAGCCACTGCAACTACTGTCTTAATAGTGGACATCTTTACCACGGGGGAGAAAGTCTCATGAAAATTAATCCCCTCAACTTGTGTATCACCCCTGACAACCAATCTAGCCTTATACCTTTAACAGTACCATCAACCCTATGTTTGATTTTGTACACCCACTTGCAACCAATGGGCTTCTTACCAGGAGGAAAGTCAACAATGGACCAAGTGCCATTGGCCTCCAAGGCTGCAAACTCAGCTCTCATGGCATCCTGCCACTCAGGCACAGAAGCAGCTTGAGAGTAGGAGGATGGCTCAAACACAGGAGGAACAAAGGTAGAAGGAGAGGAAGAAACAGAAAGAGAAGAAGAAGAGGAAAGTGAAAGTTGGCAAACATAATCAGAGAGATACCCTAGAGGATTATAGGACCTAGAAGACTTTCTGATAGGCACAACATCAGGAGGAGCAGAAACAGAAGAGGAAGGAAGATGAGGTGGAGGGATAGGAGAAGGAGGAGAAGGAGAAGCATGAGAGGGAAGAATAGGAGAAGGAGGAACATATCCAAAAATCTGAGAAGTGGAGTTGGGAAGTTCAGAGAAACAATCATCGAAAACATAGGAAGAAGTAAAAGTATAAGAGGTAGGAAAATCAAAGGAAGGAGTAGAAAAAGGGAAAATGTGTTCATGAAAAAAGACATCCCTGGAAACAAAAGATGACTTGGAGATAAGGTTGTACAATTTGTAACCTTTCTTAGCAAAAGGGTACCCCCCCCCCCCCCAAAAA